AATATGGCAACAAAGATGAGGACAATAGTCTGAATAATGTAAATAGTGTACATAATACCTCATCTCAGAAATATAGACAGATAATGAAAGGCCGAAACGTTGTGATAAATATGGCGACAAAGATTAGGACAATAGTCCGAATAATGTAAATAGTGTACATAATGCCTCATCTCAGAAACATAGACAGATACTGAAAGGACGAAACGTTGTAATAAATATGGCGACAAAGATGAGGACAATAGTCCGAATAATGTAAATGGTGTACATAATACCTCATCTCAGAAACATAGACAGATACTGAAAGGCCGAAACGTTGTAATAAATATGGCGACAAAGATGAGGACAATAGTCCGAATAATGTAAATGGTGTACATAATACCTCATCTCAGAAACATAGACAGATACAGCCTAGATATTTAAATTTCCGACATGTAAATCGCATTTCGGGCTCATCCGTTTATTGATGACCATACATTCTATCTTCTTGTAGTTTATGCTTAGTCCCTTCTTCTTGCTCTCCTTCGCTACCTTCTATAGGAGGTTTTATAGAATTAAAAAATCTATAAAGAGCCGTATGTAATACTGACATTTTTAAATATATTTTCTATATATATAATATATATTATAATATAAAATTTCATATATATTAGAATATTATGACAAATGCGGTATTGACTCCTTGATTCAGTTCTATTTTACTGTTTATCAACCCCTTTGTCGGTTATTCAACAACAGATTATTATTTTAAAATCGTAAGAATATTTGGGGTGTATTAATGATTTTACTGAGACAAGACCTAATATGCTCATAGCTGGTCAGGAGTGTTCAAAACTTATCAATCACACTCAAAGTTTCGCAGATATCCATTAATTAAGCGTTTCAGTAGTTAAAATGAACATACTTACAGATTCATTTTATACTGTATATCAACCCTTTCCACGTTAATTGAAGCCAGGAAATATTTTTAAATTGTTATGTAAGGTAACAATAGTTAACTGATACAAGTCATACTAATTAACCCATAGCTGGAGGAGAAGAGGTGGATTCATACCTAATCAGAATTTTGGTAAACAGACAAGAAATTATAATGTGGACATAAAATGAAGGATTAATTCTATATTAAAAAGAATATAGAAACTTATCCCTCACTTTGGGGACACAGTAATTTCTATACATTGATATTCCAATCTAAAAGACGTATCACTATATCTAATCAGTATTCCAATGATTGCTTGTTTTCCTACAATTTATCGATTCATCGAAGGTTATTTAAATCCAGAAAATATTTTAGATTGTAATAATTTGGGGGGGGAGTTAATAATGAATTACTCTTACTAATTAACCCATATTTGATAGAAGAGGCGAGTATTTCACCCCTAAACAAGGCGGAGCGAGAGTAAATAGGGATGTTTGAGGAAAGGATATAGAGAAGGACGTGGATCAGGATCAAGGCACCAGAAGATGTCGATTGATATTACATTTAAATATTTGAAGATTATTTTTGAAACTATATGCTACGAACAGTGAATTTTTACTCGATCGGTTCTTCCTCTCATTTGGATACCCACCGCCACATATATATATATACATATTATTATTATTATTATCATTATTATTATTATTATTATTATTATTTTCTTTGATTTCTGGCGTTTACACATTTCTTTCCGGGTCCCGCCCAGGGACCTAAAATTAGAAATGGCGTCATGACACTTTCCACTGACAAAAAAAAAAAAAAAAAAAATTACATAGAAAAAGCCCTTCGTAAAGTGTGGGCTGTACTTGTCAGAACAATTTTTTTTTATCTCCTTGAGGCATGGACTTCCAGGAATCACTTCAGTTAGTCTACTGCAATATTTTCCAACCAGTCCTAGGGCTCCAACTACAACAGGGATTGTTGATGTTCCCATATACCACATTTTCGAGATTTCTATTTCAAGGTCCTTGTATTTTGACAACTTTTTGAATATCTTCAAAGATACATTGCAGTCAACAGGGACTGCCATATCAATAAGGAGGCATCGTTTTTGTTTGTGGTCTTTAATAACAATATCCGGGCGGTTGGCCTTGATTGTTCTGTCAGTGTGTATTGTGTAGTCCCATAGAATTGTAACAGGTCCTATCTCTGTAACCGGGTCTGGGTGGTGTTCATACCAGTTTCTTTCAGTTTCCTTCCCGTAGAAGTTGCAGATTTTCCAGTGCAGATATTGGCCCACTCTGTCATGTCGGGTTTTATATTCAGTGGCTGCCAACATCGTGCAAACCTGATACAAGATGATCAATCGTTTCTGGATGTTTATCACAGAATCTGCATTTTGGGCTGACACAATATTTTAGTATATTTGCTTGATAATTCCTAGTTAGCAACCATTGGTCCTGCACAGCAAGGATAAAACCTTCAGTTTCCGCTTTCAACCCTGCACGACGTATCCACTGATGGGTACGGGTTTTGTCTACGTCAGCTTGTTTGGTACGCGCAGAGTATTGCCCATGAAGCGGTTTATCTTGCCATCGCTTCTGTATCTGGTCGGTTGCATTCGTCTTTGCTGTCTTTTTTAGGTATTTTGCAGTTTCAGCCGGTGTATTGTGCTGTAGTTGCATCTCTACGCCCATTTGAAACTCCATTTTGAATTTGTTGGCTTCTTTCATTACGGAGTAAAGACGCTTATTACTTTCATGATCCTTGACGCATACCATCATCCAGTCTTCTGTAGTTTCTAAATATCTTTGGAGGTCAATTGTTGTAGTTTTGTAGGACAGTTCTAGTTGAACTAATCCTCTGCCTCCTTCGGATCTGGGCACATACAGACGATCAACATCAGCTTTGGGATGATGCATGCGATAGCAAGTGAGTAGCTTTCGTTTTATGTTCATTCGCTTAATTTCAGCTATGGTCCAGTTAAGGACATTAAAGCTGTATTGCACCACAGGGACAGGCAATGTGTTTATGGCTGATATTCTGTTATTATTATTATTATTATTATTATTATTATTATAAGAGATTATAATAAAAAACGCACTTTTTTAAAGTAAATGCTACGAAGAGTGGATTCTTATTCCATCTGTTCTTTCTCCCTATTTGTACACACACACACACACACACACACACACACACACACACACACACACACACACACACACACGCGTATGTGTGTGTGTGTGTGTGCCAGCTCTGGGTTAAATAGTAGGATAGATTGAATCCCATAGTCTTGTTTGGAAACCAGTCTACAGTAGAAAATAACGACAGACTTCTCCGGGAATTCTTCTGCTAAATTCAGTCATGAACTTAAAAGAGACATGATTGTTTAAGCATTCATTTCATCACGCATGACCTGTAAGGATATATATATATATATATATATATATATATATATTTTTATAAAAGAGACCACTTTAAGGTTCCATGTAATAAATTATTTCACGACAGCTCTTTTAAAAAACTGCGGATCATAAGTAAAGTCTGATGATCCGCAGTTCTTTAAAAGGTTTGTGGTGAAATAATTTATTACATAGAACCTTAAAGTGGTCTGATTTATTTAAATTATTTGCTCTGGATTTACATTGAGCTCTCTGGATTTTATCCTTCTTAGGTTTACCCATACGGATTACCTAGTTTTTCATAAACTAAATATTGCGCATATATATATATATATATATATATATATATATATATATATTTTTTTGTAGGTACAAAATTTAATGATCGAAAAAAGTATAAAACTTAATATTACGAGACATAATTAAAAAAAAAAACAGGCGAAGCAACCGGTTTCGCTCTCACTCTTCAGGCTTCAACAGGAGATGTGAAATTAACATTGATAAATGTACAATAAAAGGAAGTTGTGAAAAAAAAAATTAAAAAAAGGAACTAGAGGCAAATGACAGCGAGTTTTTGTTGGGACTCGCTGTCATTTGCCCGTTTGTTTTTTAAATATGTCTCGTAATATTAAGTTTTATACTTTTATTTCGATCATATATATATATATATATATATATATATATATATACACACACACATATATATATACACACACATTCACACACACACACATATATATTTATATATATATATATATATAGCGTAAGAGCCTTCGTTAAGGTTTTATTCTGTTTGAAGCTTTCGATTTTCAGTTGGCCGTCCGTGGCACTGCGGTCGTAGTGGAACCATAGAAAGCTCGAATACTATCTAACCCGTCACACTGCTCCTTCGCCAGCAAAATACTGATAGACGTTCGAGCTCAAAGGTGCAAATGATAGAGATGAGTTTCTCACTTGGAAATGGTGCCGTTTATCAATTTGGCGCGAACCAAAGCCGACACTAAGAATCGATTACGCATGCGTCAAAGAACAAAACTACTAGGTTAAGGGTTACGGTCAAGAAAATGTATCGCTTGTATCGCCTTCTTTTCTTGAACGGCTTCGAATGACAAGCGATGGATGATTCTCCACCAAGACTGGCCGCTGTCCATCGTATTTCTTTAACTTTCTACTATTCAGCGTCCATTTTCACCGATTTTTTTTTTGATGGGATCAACAGTCGTGCTATATTACTTGGTTTGTTGGTGAAGGCGAAAGTAGATGGGAAAATAGAAGTGATACTGGAACTAATAGTCTGAAATAAAGCAGGAAATAGGATCAAGAAAAGACGGTGAGAATATACGATGAAGTATGAAGCGGAGAAAAGGAGAACAATCCAAGCAAACTGAAAAAGATAACGAGAATAAAAATTTAAAAAAAAAATGAAGGGTGAGTGACAAAAAGAATGAATGAATATGAGTAAACCAAAGAGAAAGAAAGATAATCCGATAAAAACGACGTGTAATATTTAAAAAAAAAAAAAGAACGATGTATTGCCATGAAGCGAAAATAATGGTGGAAAGGGAAAAAAAGAAGGAAGGTTAACATGAAAAATAAAATGAGAGACGGGAAATGAGAAGCATAACGGTAAAAAAAAATGGCGAAGGAATGAGAATGCAGGGAGGTTATGGAACGGTGACTTGTCATGTGATAAGAAAGAAAGAAAGAAAGAAAGAAAGAAAGAAAGAAAGAAAGAAAGAAAGAAAAGAAAGAAAGAAAGAAAGAAAGAAGAAATAAATAAATAAATAAAAAATAAAGAAAGAAAGAAAGAAGAAATAAATAAATAAAGAAAGAAAGAAAGAAAGAAATGAGAATACGGTTAGAAGGAAAGACAGAAATCGGAATATGGTGAGAAAGAAAGAAATGAAGATAAGGTGAGAAAGAAAGAAAAAAGGAAGAAAGAAATAGGAGAAAGAAAGAAAGAGAACGGAAAAGAAATGGGAATACGGTGGGAAAGAAAGAAAGAAATAAATAAAGAAAGAAAACAGGAAAAGGAAATGGGAAAAAAGGTGAGAAAGAAAGAAAAATACTAAAACTTCAAACCGAAGAAAGAAAAGAAAAGAAAGAAATATGAATAAGGCGACAAAGAAAGAAAGAAAGAAAGAAAGAGAGAAAGAAAGGAAAAAAGAAATGGGCATAAATGTGAACAAGCTGAGAAAGAAAGAAAAATACAAAAAAAAAAAAGACCGAAGAAAGAAAAGAAAACAAAAGAAAGAAAGAAAGAAAGAAAGGCACAAATGATGAATGCAGAAAAAGAAGCAAAGAGCCAAAAATAATAAATTAAGAAGGATATTAATAGAGGTTAAAAAATGGCGAGCCAATAAAAAATGGCGGACCAATAAAGGCAAGAGATGAAGAACAAAGAAACAAAGAATGGACATTTAGTAAGAAACCAACGCAGAGAAAAAGTGTATAAAATTTTAGAAAGGCCGAAGATATATGGTTTCAGAAAGGTATCAATAAGTTAGGGGCCATTAGGAAGAAGAGAAAAATGGTACGGTGGCGATGATCGGTGACAGGGTGACAAAGAAAGAAAAAGAAAGAAAGAAATAACAAAAAAGAAATTAGTCAACCGAACTAAACAATCGAAATAAAGAAAGGAGGAAATAAAGAATATATTAACTATAAAAGAAAGAGACATATGGAAAAGGCACGATTAATATAGAAAGAAAGAAAAAAGAATCGGAGGAGAAAAAAAGAACGAAAAAGAGAAAGAAACAATAAAAAAGAAAAGAAATAAATAAATAAATAAATAAATAAATAAAGAAAGAAAGAAAGAAAGAAAAAGTTCATAGTTAGAAATGGAAAAGAACGAAATATACGGAGAAGACACGATTAGAAAAATAAGAAGAGAAAGAGAGAAAAAAGTAAAGAACGAATGAAATAAAGAAAGAATGAAAGAAATAAAACAGTAACTACTAAATAAAGAAATATATAGAAATTGCACGATTAGAATAAAAAGAAAGAGAGAATCAGTTAGAGGTAAAAGAAAGAAACAATGAGAAAAGGTAGGCAAGAAAGATGGAAAGAAAGAAAAAAAATAAAAAAAGAAAGAAAGAAAAAGCAAGCAAAGAAAGAGAATCTATGTAAAAAAGAAAGAAATTGCAAAGAATGAGGTCTAGAAAGATATTAATGGTAGTAAAGGATAATGGCGTAGTAAGAAAAGATTGACGAAGAAGCGTTGTCTGATCAAATGGTGAGAAAGAACGAAAGTAAATTGAAAGTGAGATAAATAAGTACAAGAAAAATATAAGAAAATCCTGAAGAAGAAGGAATGTCGCTAAAGTAGAAGAAATATATGACGTAAAAGAGACAAATAGATAACTGAATCAAAGAAAAGTTAAGTATAGAAAATGAAAGAAAGTCATACAAAGAATTAGGTAAGAAAGGTGGGAGGTTAAGAAAAATGGCGAACCAATGAGAAATATGGAAGATTGATAGAGAATCAGTTTTTAGTAATCGGTTAAAGAAAGAAAGAAAGAAAGAAAGAATGAAAGAAAGAAAGAAAGAAGTAACAACATCTTAAAGAATGATACAGAAAATACACTATTAGAATAAAAATAGAATAGATAGATACATATATTGAATAAAATCGAATAGATAGATAGATAGATAGATAGATAGATAGAATAGAATATAATAGATAGGTAGATAAAAGAAAGAAAGAAAGAGAGAGAGAGAAAGAAAGAAAGAAAGAAAGAGAGAGAGAGAGAGAGAAAAAAATGAGATAGACGAAAAAGAAAGGACGACAGAAGTAACTACAACATAAAGAATCTTACAGAAAATCAGTCAGTTATGTCCCATACGTAACACACGCTTAGGCGATCTTTCGATACATGACTGACGAGGCAGATTTTTCCAGCAGTAAGTTACCATTTCTTTTGCGGTAGACCAGTTGCCATTCAAGGCTATAGAACTCGGTCTGTTATGCTATTTACCCATAGCTTGATGGGGAGAAGGAAGAAGAGGATTCATACCTTTCCCAATTGTATTAGTACGTAAGTGAATATAATTGATTCGACTGGAATTCGAACTCGGTTCTCCGATACCTCAACCCAAACCGCTATTCATTACTCCACCGTACGAAAAGAAAAGAATAGAATAGAATAGAATAGAGATGAAGAAAGGAAGAAGTAACTACAACTTAAAGAAACGTACAGAAAATACACTATTAGAATACAGTAGATAGATAGATAGATAGATAGATAGATAGATAGATAGATAGATAGATAGATGTTGTCCTCATCTTTATTGTCAGGTGAACATGACAATAAAGATGAGGACAACAGTCCGAATAGAATAGAAAGAAGAAAAGAGGAGAAAGAAAAAATGAAAGACAGAAAAACTATGAGAAAATATGAGAAAGTTAGAAAGAAAGGAAAAAATTAGTAGTAAGAAAGAAAAATAAAGAAATATACGATTAAAAAAGAAAGAGAGAGATAAAGAGAGAGAGAGAGAAAGAGAGAGATACAGAAAGCAAGAAGTAAAGAAAGAAAGAAAGATAGAAAGAAAGATAGAAAGAATGAAACAAGAATGAAACAAAGTAATTAGTAATACAAAAAATAGTAATTAGTAGTACAAAAAATACGCGATTACAATAGAAACAAAGGAAAAAAGAAAGAAAGACGAAAAGAAAGGAAGAAAGAAAGAAGGAAAGAAAGAAAGAAGGAAATAAATAAATAAATAAATAAAGAAAAGAAGAAGCAAAGAAACAAAGAAAGAAAGAGAGAGAGAAGGAAAGAAATAAAGAGAGAGAGAAGAAAAGAAAGAAGAAAAGAGATCAAGAAAGTAGGAAGGAAGAAAGAAGAATAAAACAAAGTAATTAGTAATTACAAAAGAAAGAAGCTTACAACAAATTCGCGATTACAATAGAAAGAAAGAAGGAAAAAGAAAGAAAGACGAAAAGAAAGGAAGAAAAGAAGAAGGAAAGAAAGAAAGAAAATAAGAAGAAAGAAGGAAGAAAAGAAATAAAGAAAGAAAATAAGAAGAAAAGAAAGAAAGAACGAAAGAAGGAAGTTTAGAAAGATAGAGAGAATGAAAGAAGGAAGAAAAGAAATCAAGAAAGAAGAAGGGAAGAAAGAAGTAAGGAAAGAAAGAAAGAAAGAATGAAAGAAAGAAAGAATGAAAGAAAGAAAGATAGACTAGGATACAGGAAAAAAGGAAGAAAAATAGAGAAAAACAATAGGAAAAGCTAAGAAAGAACTAAATGAAGAAAGAAAAATGAAATTAGTAATAAGAAATGAAACAAAGAAAAGATACGCTTAAAAAGCAAGAAATATATATGACGATCGCTAAAGCGTGAAACCCAGGGTCACAAACTCACATCTATCCAACCAAATATATATATATATATATATATATATATATATATATATAGAGAGAGAGAGAGAGAGAGAGAGAGAGAAACGAAACAAGGAAAGACCGAAACAAAGAAAGAAGTGGATACAAACGAAAGAAGAGTACAGAAAATAGACGATTAGAATGAAAAGAGAATTAGTGGAGAAAGAAAGAACAATAGATAGAAAAACAATAAGAAAAGCCAAGAAAGAAAGAATTTCGTAGTTGGAAATGAAAAAGAACGAAATACACGAAGAAGACACGATTATAAAAAAAAAAGGAAACAAAGAAATATAAAAAAAAGAAAGAAAGAAAAGAGTAAAGAAAGAACGAACGAAATAAAGAAAATAGTTCCTACAAAAGAAAGAAACATATAGAAAATACACGGACAGAATAGAAAGAAAGAACGAAAGATTCAGTTAGAGGAGAAAGAAAGAATGAAAAACAGGAAAATCAATGAGAAAAGCTAAGAAAGACACAACGAAACAAAGAAGGAAAGAAAAAAGAAAGAAAAAAGAAATAAATAAAGAAATTAGCAGTTAGAAATTTGTAGGAAAGACAAGATTAGAAAAGAAAAAACAAACAGAAAGAAATAGCGAGAGAGAAAGAGAGAGAGAGAGAGGGGGAGATGATTAAAGAAAGAAAAAAACGTAAGACGAATATGAAAAGAAAGAAAATATAGAAGAAAGAATGTAAGAAAACCCGTAAAAAATGAGGAACATACAAAAAATTATCAATTAGAAAAATTGCTAAATATACATATAAATATACTAATAATATACATACAATAAGTAAATATGTAGACGAATGACTGAATAAATGAATGAATAAATGAAAATAAAGAAGGGAAAAATCAAAGAAAGAGAGACGCAAAGTCCTGCTTAAGAAAGACTATTTAAAATATAAAAAACTAATAGGAAGAAATAAAGAGAAGAAAAAGAAAGATTCGAGCCCAATTGGTGAAAAGATAAGAATGATATTTGAAGAGTTGAAAGAAAAAGACATAAAAAACAACGAAATAGTTGGAAGAAGGGAAAAAAGAGGGACAAAGAATTCATTGAAAAATAAAGAAGACAGAGAAAGAAAAGAAACGATGGGCGAAAGACAAGAAAAATACAAAGATGGCTGACAATCTGGAGTGAAGACAAGAATTAAAGTAAAATTATGAATAAAAGTAAAAATAGCAATGAAAAAAGAAACTAAAGAAAAGATGAAAAAAGAATAAACATTTGAATGTTTTTACATTCATCCAATACAAGGCCCACGAGCCACTGAAGGTAGAGGGTTACTGTGTGACTTTGTAAGTGAATAAGAAAAATCAAGAAGTGAAGTAACGAATAGAAAAGATTTTATTCATAAAATACACGTGTCGATGCATTAACATATGATTCTGCTGTAGGACAAAACTGTTACATGACTCTGGACAAGATAAGCCGACACTGGAAATCAACTGACATGTCTTCAAATCAAAAAGATGACCTTTTCACTTAAATTTTCACTTTTTTTTTACTATATTTCTTCCAACATTCAGAACTTCTGGTATCTTACAATGTGGGAATATCTTGACAAACACATTAATAATGATAAACTTGAACTTTTCTTTCACTGATTCTTTAAGTAATTCAGACAACTTAAGTTCATTGCGCCAAGCAAGTACTAACTTTTGCTAATGTAACTCTTACCAATTTCTTGTCAGTAGTAAAACCAGCATAAAGAATGGAACCTGACAAACATTTCAACCTCTAGCTTGGACAGTTTATATTGCATTAAAGTCTTTGGGGGAAAGGCATGGTCTTCCGCCTCTCCCAATGACATGTTTAAATATTAAGACAGAACCTTTTAGCCCTGTAAAATAATCTATCTTAGTTACTGGGAGAAACTGCAGTCACATCATTTAAAGTGACCTTTTGTTCTACAAAAAGTCTGCCAGATAAAACATACCCTCATCAGATCTTTCTCAGAGATTAAAATATCTTCTGGTCTCAATTGTTTCTTTAACAAATCAAAATAGTTTTAAGGTCTTAGTGGTTAAGAGGCTGGTAAGTGATATCTCTTGAATAGCATAAATACTTAGTTTGTCAGAATAGTTTTATGGAGCTGTTTGTTGGAAAAGCAAAAAAGTCATATTCATAAAATACATGTGTCAATGCATTAACTTAGTTGCTGGGAGAAACTGCAGTCGCATCATTTGAAGTGACCTTTTGTTCTACAAGAAGTCAGTCAGATAAAACCCACGCTTTCTTGTCCTCATGTTTTTAATTCTGCATCTATTACCTCCGCTTCATGCTTTCGAGCTTGTTGGAAGTCCTCCTCTGTAGTTTCTGTTTTAAGAACTCTGTAGAACCTTCTAACCTATCTAACTACTACACTATGAGTCGCCTACCCCCTTTCGGCAAAGTATTCAAGGCTTTAATCAATACTAAATTGATTAAGCATCTTATATCCCATGACCTACACTCTGACTTCCGTTTTGCCGGATCTACAGTAGATGTGCATATAGTCAACAGTGAATATGTATATCAAGCTCTTTATAATAACGGCGAAGCTCGATCTGTGTCTCTAGATATCTTAAAAGCCGTTTGACAGGGTTTGGTATGCTGGTGCTCTACATAACCTTCAGGGCTACGGTATTACAGGATGATTGTTTGATTTAATCTAATTCTTATAAAATCGTGAAATGAAGGTCGTTTTGAACGGTCATGCTTCCAGATACTTTCATTTGGACCAATGCTGTTTCTGATCTTCATTAATGATCTGCTTGTCGTCATCAGTTACCAAGTAGGCATTTATGCAGATGACACTACCACTTACACCTGTCTCAATAGCAAATTCTTCAGACAAAGTAAACCTGGCTGCTGCTCTTGAAAGTGACCTCCCATCAGTGGTTAACTGGGGCAAAGTTTTTTAAATTTCAATGCCTTCAAAACTCCTCGCATTTAACGCCAATGGAGAAGCAGTCCTATCCGCTATCACCATGGCTGATGTTCGACTCCTGAAGAGCGTCTACTTGCGCCTTGTTGGCGGCACGTTTTCAACAGGCTTGAAATGGAACAACTACATTGAATCGATAGCAGCATCTACTGTAAGGAAAGGGGGTTCATTGTGCCGTCCTAGAAGATGAACTCTCTCGTCAGAGTTCATCTTGCATATTTACATATCTATCCTTCTTCCGTACACTGAATGCTGCTGCCATATCTGGTCTAGTGCTGCTGTTATTCATCTCGAGGTTATTGACATCACCCAAAGAAGGACCCACAATTTAATCGATCCTGACATGGTATCTTGACTTCAGTCACTTTCTCGCCGACGTGACGTGGCTTCCCTCTGTCTTTTCTACAAATATTTTCATGGCAACTTTTGTCAATGGGAGAATGAGCAGGAGATTGATCAAGAGATTTAGGTCAGGAGATCAAGTCATAATTCCCTTTTTTTTTTTGACTCGTGGTAATTTTGACATGATTTAAATGATTGTTTTGGATCTTTGTCTTGATGAATGGTTAATATTTTTTCAGTTATGCGTAAACTAGGTGGCATACAATGTCTTTGAGAAAACGATTCCCTTGACCTGAATCAAATCCCCAGCTATTTTGCTAATCTCAAATCTTTGAACACATACTACAGTCAACAATTTTCGGTCCACACTGCATTTCTTTAAAAACGCCTTAAAATGATATATTTTTGCATTTAGAAGATAAAACTGCAGTAACTGCAGTGTATTTTATTTTATAAAACCACCACCTGCATTAATTAATGCTTTACAAATTACTGGTATTCTCAGAGCTTTTTTAAAAAAAAAAAAAAAAAAAAAGATTGCAATATTTTCAAGTACTGGAAAAGCTCACTCTTACTCTATGGGTATTCTCGTCTAACTTTGCTATCAAATTCACCCAACAAATTCAATGGGAGATATGTCAGGAGATCGAGGCGAACAAATTATAATTTCCAAAATTGTTTTTGAACAAATATAATGTTCACAATTTAGAAAAGTGCTATGGATTGTTGTTTTGATTTTAACTTTTTGAAAAGTGATTTTTTCCAGTTATGCGTAAACCAGATGCTTTTACTATCTCAAATGTTATTGTTCATGTTTCACGATTTCCTTGATTTGAAATCTCCAGCCATTTTGCTAATCTCAAAAAATGGGAGGTTAATTGCGAAATCAAAATATAATATTTCCCATACAAAATATTCATAGGAAAATTTAACAAAATGCATTGTGGAGTGAAAAGTCCAAATTAGAATGTATTGGTAGTAAGGAAGAACGAAAAATAAAAGCAAATACACTGTAATAATTGAAATGTTATTTTTTACTTGTCTGAAAAAAATACAAAAATATCTAATTTTCAGGTGTTTATTAAAGAAATTCAGATGTCTCCAAACTTGTTGCCTATATTATAGACTAGCAGTAGAGTCCGGCGTTGCCCGGGGATGTAACAGTAAGAGATAGATCAAGTATCCACCATCATAAAGACTGAAAAATAAAATTGACAAAGATTATTGTTTAAGGTTGACGGACACGCATGTCTTAATTAGTTTTTTTTTTGTTTTGTTTCCTTTTGTTTTTTTTTACGAATTGGTCAAACCCAAACTCAAACAAAAACATTGTTTTCAATAGTTATGAGTCTATCGATTGAATAGAATTTTATTATAAACAATTGTCTTGTAAATGGAATTTTTAAAGCATTCTGAATGTAAAAATAAAGAAAAAAGTGTGCAAGACAATAAGAAACACTACCTGCCAAAAAAAAAGTGAAGTTTTGTTGAAATCGGTTGAAAAATGTAGGAAATCCGATCCCATATATAAACGAACACACACACACACAAACAAACAACCTGGCTTTTATAATAAGTATAACTTGATATGAGTTGTCCCCCTTTCATTCCGCTAAAGCGATGCCTCTTAATCGTGTTTTCAAATTGATTTCGTGCAAAAACAATTGTGTTTTTCCAATTTTTGACGCTGTCAGAACCACCGCAAGGTAATTTTACGTAGTCCTGTGAAGTTTTGTTGAAATCAGTTGAAAAATGTAGGAAATCCGATCCAATATATAAACGTACACACACACACACACACACACACACACACACACACACACACACAATCTGGGTTTTATAATAAGTATGATGACATATTCAACTGCAATATAAGCTTCCATTACTAGACTGAAAAAGTTTCTTCTACGGATGAAATACGGTACACAGGTGTTGATCCCGATTATTATTTCATTAGCCAACAATATGTTTGGTATATAGACGTTTTGCCTTGATGTCATTTTAACATAACCTAGAAGAGAGTCTGTTGGAAAGTTGAATCTGCTCAAAATAGCCGAAAATTAGGAAGGCCATAGTTAGAGAGAATATAGAAAGAACAGTAGACTAGTTATAAGAAACAAAGAAGAGGTTTATTTAATACGCAAGGATACAGGATGCAATGGATAAATTGTCGTCTAAATAACTCAAAAATAAAAGAAATGACATTTCATTTTAATAAATATGTTTAAAATACTAAAGAGTAAATTTATTCAATAAAATCGCCATTGACTAGAATCATGGCCTCCAGACGACTTCGGAATCTCCTTCAACTCTTCTAGACGATCTCTTTCTTTAATTTTGTACATACTGCTATAATCCCTGCCATCAGTTCATCTTTAGTGTTACAAGGGGATTTGTTTGTCTCCCGCTCAATGACACACCTACACATAATAATCAAGGGGGTGCAGTCTGGAGAGTTAGGTGGCCAGTTGTAAGGGGTGATGTGGTCGCAGAAATTGTCAGATAGCCATGACTGGGTTCTCTTGCTAGTGTAGCATCGTGTCTTGCTGCCAGACATAATGACTTCCAGAAGCCACCCTCTTGACCCAGGGCAGCACTACCTCTTCAAGACACTTGTTGCAGGCCTCCGTGTTGAATCTGTGGCTCTTACTAACAAATTTGGACGTTCCTTTCTTATAAGAACGATCAGAGTGATTTTTCCGAGCTGCCATACCGTCGTAATCGCCATTAGACTCATTCAGCTCTATCCGAATCTTCTACACTCTCCTCAGATTGACACCAAACACTGAAATGTTCGTATTGGAGCTTCGGGGATGAATGCAAAGCAGAACAGCATGCCATTTCTGAATTTCTGACGGAGTGATTTGCGTGATGGTGTTTTTTTTTTTTCTCAGAGACCGTGGCCAACTGACCCTATCGTACTGTGCAGTCGACAAAATCAAAAACAAACAACGCGCATGTGCGAAATTAAAAATATAAAATGGCGACAATTTACCTATCACACCCTCTAACGGAAAATACCTAAATAAACCAAATACTATTCAACATCCTCTTGTAATATGGCCACTTGCCGTATTTATAAGTAGGAGCTGTTACAACACCGGGGAAGAGCAGAAAGTACACTGAAGCCTACTCTACAACAATGTTTTAGAGGGTTGTCTTTTTGGATGTAAATTTCTTCCAA